TTCTTTTGCATATCCGTTCATTGGCCCTCTTGTTTTCCCTATTTGGACTCACTAGACGTAAGGCTAACCCTATTTATTTAATTGATTTGTTTGTCAGGTTTCTTTAGCGGCGAGACTCTAAAGGGTTGAGGGGAGCGTTTTCCCGTATGAAAAGGGGCTTTGTGTAGATAAAGTGTTTTTTTTTTTGTGTTTGGAGCGTTGCAATATTTGATGATACAGTATTTTGTTGGAGGAGGTAGAAACACCCGTTCTTAATCTAGGCATAGAATTGTTTAGATTGATAGGTTGTTAATTATCGTCTCGCTAGATGTTTTGTAAACGCTTCACTACCTCCCCTTGATGGGTAAATCCTTGTTAAACTCTAGTTCCCGCTATGTATTTTCGATTCATATTATCTCCTACCTTATTATTATTATATATATAATCTTTTGGGGTGTTATAAGTTGGTATCAGAGCACTAGTTTAAGCGAACTATGTAAGGAACTAAGAAACCTAGACTTAAACTGAGACTGTAAGTGTTAATTGTGAGACATGAATAGAAACTTTTAAGATAGGAGAGCCTTGGAGTCAACTGAGTTACATAATTCATGAATTGCGACGTCGGTGTTGAGGATCCTTATATATCACCTATTCGAAATTTCACTTAGCTAATGCAATTTTGAGTATGTTGTTACATAAGCGTGCTCGAACTTACTGTTATTGGAAGGATTTATGAATGTGTCGGTACGTATTACATTAGTTTCGTATCTCCCAATCTTAACTCTTTTTCACTCTCTTGTATGGCAGACTAAAATGGTGAATACTCGGAGTAGACGGGATACCTCACCGGAAGGTCATGCGGTGACAGAATCTAGCGCGGATCAACCGCCACGAATCACCATTGCAAGGGTTTATCCTAGAAAAAAACATATTGGGCAGTGGATTTGACCATGTTCCCCAAGTCGACCTTGCCACCTCTAACCCCGTAATGGAAGAAGGAACCCCGGAATCAAGGATGATGGGCACAATGATGAACGCCATGAACAGAGCCATGGCCCAACAGCAAGAGTTCTTTATGAAGTTGTTGGAGGATAGAGATGCTAACAACTGTAAGCATGAGGCAGTTGTCGAGAATATAACTATTGGAGGATCTGGGGGTACCAGAAATGGAATCCCAACCCAGGAGTTATTGACGATTGAGGCGAGACAAATGAGTAGAGTTTGCTCTTACAAGACCTTTCTATGTTGCAAACCACCGAAATTTGTAGGGTCGGATGATCCTGTGGCATGCATGAATTGGCTTCGAGAGATCGAACAAGCCTTCCGGGCTTGTGACTGTGATGAGGGGCAAAAAGTGAAGTTTGGTTCTCAGATGCTAAGGGGTGCAGCCCTTACCTGGTGGAATATTGTCATCTCAACCATGGGAGTTACAAAATTGGCCAAGATGAGTTGGGCCACGTTCAGATAGAAGGTGATGGAAGAATATTGTAATGAACAAGAGATGGACCGCATTGATGAAGAGTTCCGAACCTTAAAGAAGGAAAATTTGTCGGTATGGGACTACACTCGACTCTTTATGGAAAAGTTAAATTTAGTGGGGCATGTGGCCCCAACGGAGAAGGAAAGGATGAAAGCCTACCTCAAGGGGTTGCCTGCAGACATGATGGTGATGGTCAGGAACTCCAGAGCCTCCACCTTTAGGGAGACTATCGAAGAGGCAAAGGTTATAGAATCAGTTTTTGCTAAAGGGAAAGAAGAGAAGACGTCAAGTAGTGAGAAGAGGAAGTGGGAAGGTCAATATGCACATTCCAAGAGGCCAATCCATTCCAACAACAATAATCTCGGAACTTATCCTAGACATGAAACTAGGTGGTCTCCTAAGTGCCACAGTAAACATCACGGCCTGTGCATCACCAACCCTATTCCCGTAAAATGCTTTAAGTGCGGGAAGGCAGGTCACACACGAAATGAGTGTCCAATCAAGGGACCCATCTGTTTCGGCTGCGGAGAGCCGAGTCACTTCAAGAATGATTGCCAGAAGTTAAAACCGGGAGGGAGTCAAGGAAGGAAAGAGAGTACCCCGAAAGCCATCGGACGAGCATTTCAGATGTCGAGAGAAGAAGCTAAGGCATCGACAAATGTAGTGTCGGGTACGTTCCTTATTAACTCCGTACCTGCACACGTACTTTTTGATTCGGGTGCTTCATGTTCTTTTATGTCTACTACATTCCATCAATATTTGCATACGCCCCCTAGTGCACTAGAAGATGCACTGATCATAGAGATAGCAAATGGTAGTCAAGTTTTGGTGCGTGAGATTGTTAGAAGTTACGTGTTGGGAATTGAGGGAAAGGAATTTCGGGTAGATCTCATACCCATGGCTATAGGCGGATTCAATGTCATAATTGGGATGGACTGGTTGGTAGAGAACCAAGCGGAGATCTTATGCTCTAAAAAGGTGATCCGAATCCCTTTGCCAGACAGGGACGCAGTGCTAGTTTACAGAGAAGGAAGGAAAGGGGATGTATTACTCTTATCCACAGCAAGGGCGCTTAAGTGTCTAGATAAGGGATGCTCCTTGTTCATTGCATGCGTGTTGGATACCAAACTAGAGAAAATAAGAATCGAAGATGTGAAAGTGGTTAATGAATTTCTCGACGTATTTCCTGAAGACCTACCCGGTTTACCACCCGATAGGCAAGTGGAATTCCAAATCGACCTTATCCCAGGAACCGCTCCAATTACTAGAGCCCCTTACCGTTTGGCGCCATCCGAGATGCAAGAGTTGATGTCTTAATTGCAAGACCTTCTTGAGAAAGGATTTATTAGACCAAGTTCGTCACCGTGGGGAGCTCCAGTCTTATTTGTAAAGAAAAAGGACGGCAACATGAGAATGTGTATTGACTACAGAGAACTCAATAAGGCAACCGTGAAGAACAAATATCCTCTTCCTAGGATAGACGACCTTTTTGACCAACTTCAGGGAGCATGTTGCTTCTCAAAGATTGAACTTCGTTCGGGGTATCACTAGGTGCGAGTGGAAGAGGATGATGTGACGAAGACAACTTTTAGAACTCGTTACGGGCACTATGAATTCTTGGTCATGCCTTTCGGTTTGACGAATGCACCGACAATATTCATGGACTTGATGAACCGAGTGTGCCGACCATTCCTTGATAAGTCAATGATAGTGTTCATTGACGACATACTCATCTATTCCAAGGACGAGTCAGACCATGAACAACACCTTTGAGAAGTTCTCAAAGTGTTAAGAAAAGAAAAGTTGTATGCAAAATTCTTTAAGTGCGACTTTTGGTTAAAAGAGGTCCAATTCTTGGGTCACGTTGTCACTCGAGAGGGAGTGAAGGTAGACCCATCCAAGATCGAGGCGATGATGAATTAGGAACCGCCGAAGAATCAGTCAGAGATTCGAAGTTTTTTGGGTCTGGCGGGTTATTACAGGAGATTTATCCAAGACTTCTCCAAGGTCGCTTCTTCATTGACGGTGTTGATTAGGAAGAATGTGAAGTTTATCTGGACAGAGAAGCAAGAAATGCTTATAGAACTCTCCAAAGAAAATTATGTGAAACCCCGATTCTCTCCTTGCCAAAAGGATCCGAAGATTTTGTAGTTTTCAGCGACGCCTCGAAAATGGGGTTGGGTTGCGTCTTAATGCAAAGAGGAAAGGTGATAGCATACGCATCGAGACGACTCAAGGATCACGAGAAGAATTATCCCACCCACGATTTGGAGCTAGCAGCGGTGGTGTTCGCCTTAAAGCTTTGGCGGCATTACCTCTATGGTACCAAGTGCACGCCTTTCACTGATCACAAAAGTTTGAAGTACATTTTCGATCAAAAAGAACTAAACATGAGACAACGACGTTGGCTCGAGCTGCTCAAAGACTACGATTGTGAATTGCTATACCACCTGGGTAAGGCGAATGTAGTGGCAGATGCTTTGAGCCGAAAGGAGTACGGTAGTGGGACGAAAGTCGTGCTTACCAGGATTGATGTAATGTCCAGTCTGATCGATCGGATCAAAATGGCACACTCTGAAGCACTTTTGGAAGAAAACCTCAAGAGTGAAGTAATGATGAAACAACACTTGCTTCTTACGGAGGATGGTCGTGGCTTAAAGTTGTTTCAAGGACGTATATAGGTACCCAAGGTTGGGGGAAATCGTGAAATGTTGCTAGAAGATGCTCACAAGTCTAAATACTCCATTCGACCGGGTAGCACCAAGATGTATCGGGACTTGAAATTGGCATATTGGTGGCCGGTTATGAAACTGGACGTGGCTCGTTACGTAGAGAGGTGCATGACTTGTTTGCAGGTTAAAGCAGAACACCAACGACCTTATGGTAGCCTTCAATCCTTGGAGATTCCCGAGTGGAAGTGGGAGCATATTACGATGGATTTCATGACCAAACTGCCGAAGACCTTAAGAGGTCATGATACGATATGGGTAGTGGTTGATCGACTGACAAAGAGCGCTCACTTCTTGGCAAGCGCGAATTGTTGCCAATGGAGAAGCTTGCCAGGTTATACATCAACGAAGTAGTCTCAAGGCACGGTATACCATTGTCAATAGTATCCGACCGAGATAGTCGATTCGCCTCCCATTTCTGGAGCGGCTTACAGAAAGAGTTGGGAATGAGGGTGAAGTTAAGTACATCTTACCATCCTCAAGCCGATGGTCAGAGCGAGCGAACCATTCAAACCCTTAAAGGCATGCTTAGATCATGTGTTATCGACTTTGGCGGGAATAGGGATTCTCACTTACCCCTGGTGGAGTTCGCCAACAACAATAGTTATCATTCCAGTATCGAGATGGCACATTTTGAGGCGTTGTATGGACGAAAATGTAGAACTCCAGTGTGTTGGCTAGAAGCGGGAGAGAAACAGTTTGCTGGTCCTGAGATCGTTCAGGAAACGGCCGACAAGGTGAAGTGTATTTAGGAACACTTAAAGGCGGCTCAAGATCGACAAAAGAGTTACGCAGACAAGAGGAGCCGACCTATGGAATTCCAAGTGGGCGACCGTGTAATGCTAAAGGTGTCCCCTTGGAAACGCATTATCCGTTTCGGAAAGCGCGAGAAGTTAAGTCCCTGTTTCCTTGGACCGTTTAAAGTGCTGGCTAGGGTAGGGCTTCAACCTTACAAATTAGAACTACCCCCTGAAATGGCTGGAATCCACAACACATTTCATGTGTGTTACCTACGTAAGTGTTTAGCGGAAGAAGAAAGTGTAATACCACTTTCGAAAATTCATGTGGATAAGGACAACCGATGTATTGAAGAATCGGAAGCCATCTTGGAAAGAAAAATCAAAGTATTGAGGCACAAAGAAATTGTAATGGTTAAAGTTCAATGGAAACATCACCGAGGGTCAAACATAACTAGGGAAGCTGAAGAGGACTTGAAGAGGCGTTACCCTCATCTTTTCGAATGACAAAAGAAAAAAAATTTGAGGACGAAATTTAATCATAGGTGAGGAGGATTGTAACACCTGAAATTTTTCCTTCTCCGTCTCGTTTGCGTGGTAAGCATTATATATATATATATATATATAT